TGTGTGTGTGTGTGTGTGTGTGTGTGTGTGTGTGTGTGTGTGTGTGTGTGTGTGTGTGTGTTTGTGTGGTGCAAACCAGACAATTTTGTCTAGATCTTGAATTCAAGTGATATATGACATGACTTACAAAGTGAAGCATGTTCAATTGCCAAAATCAAAATGTAGAGAGCTGCTCCTATCACTTTCTGTATGGATTGAACAATAACCAACAAACATGACATTTTTCGTGTAACAACCCATGCTCACCACTAGTAGATATTATCTGGTTTAGCTCATTATGTATCGTCATCAGCCTCACGGTTTTAAAACGTGTTTACTAGGGAGAGGTTTCCACACCCTTATAAGGAATGTTTCGTTCCCCTCTCCAACCAATGTGGGATCTCACAATCCACCCCCCTTGGGGGCCAACGTCGTCACTGGCATTGCCTGGTGTATGGCTCCGATACTATTTGTAACAGTCCAAGCCCCCCGCTAGTAGATATTGTCCGTTTTAGCCCGTTACGTATTGTCGTCAGCCTCAAAGTTTTGAAATGCATCTACTAGAGAGAGGTTTCTACACCCTTATAAGGAATGCTTCGTTCCCCTCACCAACTGATGTGGGATCTCACAATCCACCCCTCTTGGAGGCCAGCTTCCTCGCTAGTATCGCACGGTATATAGCTCTGATACTATTTGTAACAGCCCAAGCCCACTGCTAGCAGATATTGTCCATTTTAGCCTGTTACATATCGTTGTTAGCCTCACAATTTTAAAGCGCGTCTACTAGGGAGAGGTTTCCACACCCTTATAAAGAATGTTTTGTTCCCCTCACCAACCGATGTGGGATCTCACAATCTACCCCCTTGGGGACTAGCATCCTCGCTGGTACTGCCCGGTGTGTATGACTTTGATACTATTTGGAACAACCTAAGCCCACCACTAGTAGATATTGTCCATTTTAGCCCGTTACATATCGTCATCAGCCTCACGATTTTAATACGCATCTACTAGGGAGAGGTTTCCATACCCTTACGAGGAATATTTCATTTCCCTCAGTTGGGTATCTGTGTCCTAAGTGTCACATGGCTATTCGTGTTCCTCAGCTGCTAACATCCTATCCTAAAATTAGACCTAATTCATATAGTTCATTAGAACTACAGATAACCAATTGCTCATGAACTTAACTAACATAAGTTGTGCAAAACATGCCAGTTAAGGGGCAGTGTACAGATGCAGTAGAACAATAAATCACACAAAACCTGGTCTGCGATGACGTCGACAAGTTCCAACTCATGATCTCGCCATTTCCGAGCGCTATCAGTAGGAAGAATCAAAACCATTATAGCATAGCTTCTGGCAGAGCCATCAGGCCAATTGTTCATTTGAAAATTTGAAAGGTTCAAGACAGGAACTCGCACAGCAACAGCTTCAGGTGCCAAATATGGAGTCCTGACCTTAGCCAATTGGCAGTTGTAGGGAACACGTATGGCTCGATTACTCTTAAAAACATCATTGACAACAGGAAGGTTTATAGGAATATGAGCTCCCACTGGTATCTGATAGTTCAAGGCATGTGAAAGCTGTAGACTTATGCCAGCCCGTGATGGCATCCACAGAGCACATTCCTCAAGCCCCAACGTTTTTCCCAGCTCGACAAGCGTCGTTTTTAATATCGTATCTCGATCGAGAGTGCTTCTTATTTCATGAGTAAGCATTCTAACATGCCTTCCAGTTTCTTCCTGAGTAAGAATAAGTCCCATTTCCCTGTCAAGTTCTTCAGCCTTGTTCTTAAGGATCAATTCTCGAGTTTTGACACTCAAAAGATCAGGAATAATATGAACAAGCATCAATGCGGTTGAGCACGAAACAATAGCACAAGCAACTTTTGCAACAGTCATCGCCATGGCCACCGTCTTCGAGTGCGTTGAAAACGTCCAAAGGTTGATGAAGTGTGTTGCTCCACAGAGAACAATGAAAGCACCAAATTGCATAAGCACCCATCTGTAAGGAGAGAATGCAGACTTCTGCACAAAATATATGAGTTCCAATGGGATAGAGAAATAAGCTAATGCGATTAGTGCATCTGAGATATACTGATATTTCACTAGAAGTTCATCAGGAGGCCACTGGGTGTCAATGCAATCACAAGACTCCATCATAAGATAAAGGATTTAGCTGAAAATATGAAAAGAACAGATGATATTAAAGAGTTGTAAGAAACATATCAACTCAGATTATAGCATTCCATGAATTCAGGAAGCACCAATGTTTTGTGTTCTTAGAGATGTAGATGCCCACACTCAAAAAAATCAGGTACACCCATAAATGATCATTTGAAAATGCAACCAAACACTGTAATGGCTCAAACCCATCGCGTCTTCTTTGGACTTTCCCTTTCAGGCTTCCCTTCAAGGTTAGAGAGAGGTTTCTACACTCTTATAAGAAATGTTTCGTTTTCCTCCCCAACCGATGTGGGATCTCTCAGTCCACCCTCCTTCGGGCCAAGCATCCTCGCTGGCACTCATTCTCTTATCCAATCGATGTGGACCCCTCCAATCCACCCCCCTTTGGAGCCCGGTGCCCTTGTTGGCACACTGCCTCGTGTCCACCCCCTTCGAGGCTCAGCCTCCTCGCTAACACATCACTCGGTGTCTGGCTCTGATACCATTTGTAACAGCCCAAGCCCACCACTAAAAAATATTGTTCTCTTTGGGCTTCCCCTAAGGTTTTTAAAACACGTATGCTAGAGAGGTTTCCACACCCTTATAAAGAATGTTTTGTTCTCTTCCCCAACCGATGTGGGATCTCACAATCCTAGCTAACACTCGTTTCCTTATCCAATCGATGTGGGACCCCCCAATCCACCCTTTTTGGAGCCCAACGCCCTTGTTGACACACCGCCTTGTATCCACCCCCTTCGGGGCTCAGCCTCCTCGCTAACACATCGCTTGGTATTTGGCTCTCATACCATTTGTGACAGCTCAAGCCCACCACTAGCAGATAATGTCCTCTTTGAGTTTTCCCTTTCAGGCTTCCCCTCAAGGTTTTTAAAACGCGTCCGCTAGGAGAGGTTTCCACACCCTTATAAAGAATGTTTTGTTCTCCTCCCCAACCTACGTGGGATCTCAGAATAACCATAATCCACCCCAAATTTTTTTTATAAATAAAAAGTTCATGAGGCTCTTAAACCATAAGCCAACAAGATCCAAGGAGTAGTAGATTAATCAGAAGCAATGAGCAAAAAAATGTTTCCACAACTTACTACCTCCCCTTCCTTGAAACTCTCAGCTTATGAACATACAAATGCTTACAGTAAATTGAATCAAGCTCTTGCTGTTCCACCACTCTCATCCATTGAACTTCAGTAGTTCCATTTGTACCTCCCAAATTAAATGCCAATTTCATATACATAAACAACAGACAACAACTACTTTTATGACCCATTTGCAAAAGGGAAGCAAAAACAATAAAACAGCAGCAAAAAGGAAATCAAATCAAATCAAGCATAAAAACGAAGAAAAAGGAAATGGGTTGGAAGAGTCTCGTGGATTAAAAGAACAAACATGAAGAAGAACAAGAAGAATAGGAAATGAATGATCATACCGAGTTAAAAGAAGGGTCGAAGAGAGGAAAGTGAGGGAGGGCAAAGCTTCCATGTGAAGAAGGGAAGGCAGAGAGTTAATGGTGAAGAGCAGATGAGACACTGAAAGGCAAAAGAGAGAGGCCTGTGGGCATCACGGACGAAAAGGAGATACGGACGGACAACCGCACGTACGGTGCCTCCTCACCCAAAACGTATGATATTACCTTCCCTTTTCTTGTTTGTATTCACAAGAAAAATGAATATTAACATAATATGTTAGCCATTCTTTAACCCTAAATTTCTAATTTTGATTCAAAAACTTTATATAACTCAATCCAATTTGTGTTCATTCATAGAGTTTAATTAAGAACCGACAACTCATTCACTATCGTTCTCTAAGTTCAAACAAAAATGAACATATGAGATTGAATAAGTTGGCTGATTTGATATTTTGAAAAAAGTTTTGAGAATGTAATTATAGGACTCGTTCTTACAAAAGTTGGTATTGATGAATTGAGCTTAAAAGAGGTGGGCGCTCTCATTTGCTATCAATCCTTGAAACATCATTCGCTACTAACTTTCGAAATTTTTTAGTTCAAGTGATTGAAGCATCTGCCTTTAAGAATGATAATTAATGTCTTATCTAATCGACTAATGGATGGATACGGAACATGTTCAACATCGTACAATTATGATCAAGAAGTTGCCATTTTGTGATAACTTGGTGCACAAGCGTCGTTAATGGAGGAAATGAAAATGGTAAGAGATTCTTTTGTGTTGTTTGCCAAATATCTAATGCTTAAATCATATTAGAATTTTAGTTAAACCCATAGCTTATAATGATATAGTGAGTGAGAGACTGGTTGCTTCTCAACAAAAAGGACATTCCATGTTGAAGCTTTACTGAGACAGTAATGACAATATTAGTGTCCCCAAAGAATTGTGAACATTACCCGTCTTCATAATGTGTGTTGGTGTGGATCAGAAGGAAATAAGTTGAGAAGAGAACGGTGGATCATTTCAAAGCTGGTAAATGTGATGGCAGCTGCAGGTGTCGTCCTAAGAAGGTTGGCTGTGCACCCTCGATAGAAACCGGGGAGACCATCTTGCCGAAACACTTTCTTTACGCAATCGGTTACGCCCGAATAACGCTTCTCGGAGTGGAACCCTTGTTCCTGAAGCCTGGAACGTACAACCTGCAAGAAAGAGTGCAATGTCACGGTAGGATCTTGGATATTTCAAACCCAGATGAGTTCATCTCAATCAGAAAAGTATATGTTCTTGATCTGGATAATATGCAGGAGAAAAGGAGAAAAAATCCCACCTCATGTGGATAAGTCAATGTGGACGCGAATATCTTGGAGACAGATGAGGCGACTGCAACGTCACGTGCGGAGAGTTTATCCGTCGTCGTATTATCTATGATATCACAATGTAAGGTTAGTACTAGCTTTTCCCTGAAGGAGATATCAAATGGGTTATCAAATAGTTACCTCTGCTAGCCAAATAGCCTTTTATTTTCTCGTATGTCGGAAACTGGATCGCGACGTGACTAACACCAGCCAGAGCAGGCACAAGACCACTGTGGAACACCAGTGTTACAGTTGAGCCAATGATCATTATAGTCATTTTCTCCATATAAGATACATAGATCAGAAGGAAACATGATAAGAAATAGGGAACCTGTACAATCCACGGATGCCTTCTTCATAGGCTATTCTCTTCAAGGCAGAAACTGTGTTTCTATACGGTAGGACACCAGATTTCATTCCCTGCGTCTATTCCAAGTAGTCATAACTGGACGAGTTAAACAAACCCGATTCATTTGAAATAGCTAATAAAAGCATAATCAGTAAAAAGTATGCAGAAGTAACGGTTCTCCATAAGCTTTCCCTCAAAGTTTTTAAAATGTGTATGCTAGGGAGAGGTTTCCACACCCTTGTAAAGAATGCTTCGTTCTCCTCCCCAACCAATATGAGATTTCACAGTCCACCCCCCTTCAGGGTCCTGTGTCCTCACTGGCACTCGTTCCTCTCTCCAATCGACGTGGGATCTCACAATCCACCTCCCTTTGGAGCTCAACGTCCTCGCTGGCACTCGTTCCTATCTCCAATCGATGTGGAATCTCACATAAGGTCACATTAGGCATAATAGAAAAGAAATGTTAACAAAACTCATGCTACAATTCAATGGACACCTCAGTTCTCTGTGTTTCACCCCCCATGCCTCTCAATCCACAAAGACGAATCCTACGTAACAATTTGGAGGAATGCCAGTTAAGCATTCATTAGATCGGTTCGGGATTTACTTCTTTCAAGCCCTCTGATGTCTTTCGGTCCTTACAAAACGCAATAAATGCTCCTTATACAACATGTTCAAGGGGCAAGGATTGAACAACTCTCATGATGGGTTTAATCTTTTTCGATACCATCCCTTTGCTAAGAGAAACGCTTCGGATAAGGAAACTACAAGATTTCGGTATGCTCTCTTCCAGATTTCTTAATGGCTAAGGGCCTAAAGCTTATTAATAATTTTTTTTAACATAAAAATTAATTAAGAATATGAGCTTGAAATCCTCACCTGAAGTCTGGTCTTAACAACCCATAGAGGATTAGTTGCAATAGCTGTAGCAGCCCCAGCACCAGAAGCAGCCAACATATTAGCACCTATTGAAAGCTGATGCCGTTCATCTGCACATATACCATGAAAATAGATACAGAACGCATACCATGTGAATATCAATGCAAAATGATAAACATCATTTATTGAAAGAAACGAAAGTAAATGATCAAACTAACCATCAGAGCCAAGAAAGCATTTAAGCTGTTCATAGATTGTGAAATAAACCTGCAAATGGAAAATATTGGTTCATATGAAAGATGTTGGAGAGGGGAACGAAGCATTCTTTATAAGGGTGTGGAAACCTCTCCCTAGTAGACACGTTTTAAAACCTTGAGGGGAAACCCGAAAGGGGAAAGCCCAAAGAAGACAATATCGAAGTAGTATTCGTTTGAAGGTTTACTACACTGATAAGGAGGTAATGCAAACACAATAGACAACATTGAAGCAGCTAATATTGTTTTAAAATCCAAGTTTCTCAAGAGATTTTGGATATAAACAAGATTCAGGACTTACAGCCCAGTTAGGAAGTAGTGCAAGCACAGTAGGTGAGAGTCCTCTATACATTCCACGCAGCCCCTCCGCATGAGCAATTTGTTTCAGACTACCAAGTATGAGACTCCCTGTACAGATAAAACAGAACAAATTCATTAAAAATGCATTACAAGTCATCAATGCACGATAACTAAGACAATTATGGTCATACCTTTTCCAATGTTTGGCAGTCCATGAACCTGAAATCTAGTCTTGATAACATCCAAAGGGCACACAAACGTAGCAGCAAGAACTCCTACAACAGAATCCAGTTCAAAATGTTCTCTCAAGCCAAGAATCAAATGCTTAATCATCTAACCAACTAGGAGATAGTGAATTCAACAAGTATGAATCTCAAGCAACAACTAAATCTTCCAGTTTCATATCTCACAAAATTTACACCCAAATATTGATAAGCATCTCAATCGAAAAGAAAAAGAATCAAAGGGATGCAAATACCAGCAGCGGCACCAGCTCCAGCATTACAGAGAAGAGCCCTCGGAGTAGGGGAATGAGAATCGGTAGCCATGGCAGTATTTAATAAAATACCCAGAAGAATAAACAGTGATTTGAGCGCAAAAATCACCAAAATAACCCTCTTTCGAGAGGCGGATCTCGGAAAACCAGAGTCGCATGGCCAGAACAAGAAGAGAGGAAAGTCAAGTCGATTGGTGCGGGGACTCTTGTATTCGTTAAAGAGAGGGAAATTAATCGGAAACTGAGAAGAATAGAAGTGGATATTCATACGAAACTAAGGGATATTCATTCGTGGATCAGAAATTGCGAGAGATTAAACAAAAGAGGAACAAATTTATGGGGGCCCTCTGGTTTCTTCGCTAATCTCGTTGTGGTCGTTCAGCCGAAAAAACCTCACCCGGTTGCGGCCCGACGAGGCGACTCGCCGCAAATGGGTCCTGAATTGAAATCTGATTTCAGCCATTCAATTCCATTTTGGTCTCTAAGTATCACACATTTTAAATTCTTTTTATATATGCTTTCGTGTTATTTTATTTTATTATTATATTTAGGGAATTATAACTAATTGTTTGTATAAACTAAATCAACCGAAAGAGATGAACACAATTGACTGACCATTGCATAATTCTTATAAGCACCAAAAATCTTTTATTTAATCTAAGCATTTGTGGTGTACACTTCAACTTCACGCTCAAAAATCTAATATTATACATAAAATTTCGAAATTTTCAGACAAGTCCTAGCTCTCTATAAGAAAATAAATGAAGTATAAAAGAAGGAACTAAAAGAACTTACGCCCCCTTGGGTCGAAGTTTTCGTATCAACCACTTTCGTCGTAATTTGACATCCAACGCGATAAACGTTTTTGCCTTCTTTTCATCCTCTAGGAGATCACAAGCATCCAATACAAGGTCCTCATCCATGTTTGGCAATGCTTGGATAGCTTCAATCACTGTCTCAATCGAGATGGAACTCGAGTTATCGTCATTTTTCTTCTTGTCTGATAAGGAAGAAACGAAGCTTGCCATCTCTCGAAGAGCACTCGCCATGCTCTCATCTTCACCTCTTAGCTTCTTGTTATGATCAAAACTAGACATGCTTTCTAATTCCCTCTTGTTCTTTGGACCTAAATGTGTTGATTCCTTCTCGCTTGCTTGTTCTTCACTTGAAACTGATGTAATAGGAGACTGGAAACCTATTGAAAGTTTTCCATCCTCGGCGTCGTGGTGCTGCTCTATACCTTGTCCTGGAGAGCACTCTCTTTCGTCAAAACTCGGATCGCAGATCACACACAGATCCTTATAATATGGCACTGGCCGTGTCATGAATTGTCGAGCGTCTGTATGTGCCTACCATTCAGCAACAAAACTAGTTAAGAACTATGCTAATATTCTAAACAGCACAAAATACTGAATTTGTGTCCACTTTTATAACTATTACATTGTATCATAATGACACGACTTTAGAACGAATTCTCCCACAACTAAAGTTAAAGACTTCACTTATGCTGACTGTGTAACGGCCCAAGCCCACCGCTAACAGATACTGTCCTCTTTGGACTTTCTTTCAAGGCTTTAAAATGCGTATGCTAGGGATGGTTTTCACACCCTTATAAAAAAATGTTTTTATTCTTCTCTCCAACCGATGTGAGATCTCACAATCCACACCCCTTCAGGGCCCAACGTCCTCGATTGGAGAAATCAAAACCTCTACCGAGTGGATTGTGAGATCCTACATCGGTTGGGGAGGAAAACGAAGCATTCTTTATAAGGGTGTGGAAACCTCTCTCTAGCAGCTGCGTTTTAAAAACCTTAAGGGGAAGCCCAGGAAAGAAAACCCAAAGAGGACAATATCTACTAGTGGTGGACTTGGATCGGGCAATGTGCCAGCGAGGAGGCTAAGCCCCGAAGGGGGTGGACACAAGGCAGTGAGCCAAGACGTTAGGTCTCGAAGGGGGTGGATTGGGAGGTCCCACATCGATTGGAGAAGATAACGAGTGCCAGCGAGGACGCTGGACCTCAAAACGGGTAGACTGTGAGATCTCACATCGGTTGGGGAAGAGAACGAAACGAAATATTCTTTATAAGGATGTGAAAACCTCCCCTAGCAGACGCATTTTAAAAACCTTGAGGGGAAGCTCGAAAGGAAAAGCCTAAAAATGACAATATCTGCTAGTGGTGGGTTTGAGCCGTTACAGGCGGTTTTTGGTGAAAAGTAATCTAAATAATATGGTTACCTTCAAAACCCCACAACAGTTCGTTTATGTCCAAATTCAATGAGCAAAAGTTCAGTATGATCAACTGCAGCCAACATGTTCATGTGCAAATCTATGAACAACAAACAACAAAGTACGCAGGCAAACAAAAATAGAATTGTTGAGCTAATGTGTAGTTTGCTTACCTTGATATAGTCTTGCCAAATGTAATCGTCAGCGGTAATCATTTGACGTGTCTCGTCCCAGAGAAATCCGTCCAAGTCTAATAGATTCTTTATAACATTATACTGTCTCCTCAGAGTTTTGTACCTATTCTTCAACACATCCACATCATAATTGAAACCAAACTTAGCATTGAATGATGCAATCATCTCAGCCCACGAGTGTTTCCGAAAAATCCCATCTATTTGGTTGCCTTTCTGCACTTGCTCCAACATAAGGTCTATGAAGAATCTGTCCATAGGAGGCTGCCAATACGTTCGGGAACGAGAAATGGCTGTGGTTGCTGTATTTGACATTTGTGGTAGCTCATCAACATCTCCAGACACAGAGATTTTATAGTCTTCACCGATCATGATTCCATTAAGTGCTTCAACATCTCCCTCACTGGCTGTCCCCAGCGGCTTCGTATACATCGTCTCATTATCACCAGAATGAGACGACTCCTGTAAATAGATCCCTGATGACCCATAATTAACAAGCAGAACAACAAGATAATTGCGTGCTATAATATTGTCAAAGCAAAGATGATTACCTTTTTGTCCGACTGTCGCGCCTCCATATATTATACACAGATCATTGTAATATGGGATGCTCTTAATTCTAAAAGATCGTGCCTCTGGGTGTTCCTAGGAACATGATAATAAATTCTTCGAACTTTAGGTAAGAAAGAAGAAAACAAAATAAAGAAATATAGAAATGCTTTCTACAAATTTGCTGAATTCATCAAAACCTTAACATATTCATCCCAGACATGATTCTCAGCAGTCACCATTTGCCGCACTTCGTCCCAGCTGAAACCCCTCTGATCAAGGAGATTCTTCACAGCTTTGTACAGATTCCTCAACGTTTTATGTCGATTCTTCAAAACATCCTTTTCATACTCGAATTTGAATTTTGCATTGAACAGCGAGATCATAAATCTCCATGCTCGTTTACTGAACAAATGCTCGTCAAATCTGTTCCCTTTATTAACTTGTTCCAACATAAGGTCTATGAAATATCTATCCATTTCAGGCGTCCAAACTGTTCTAAGCCGATCGTTACTATTCCGTGTCTGGACACCCATACTGCTATCATTGTAGCAAGGCATCAGTCTAATGTACATAACTCAAACACATGATCTACTTGCAATTACAATTACTCACATTCAAACAGTATCTTTAAGCATATTGGTTCTAAAATAACTGCAATAGTAATAAGTTTTTCCACAATTTGATATTGGTTCTACACTCAAACTCACAAAGAACTGGTATATTACTTCTGATTTAGAGTGGGAAATAGTGAAGGATACAGCAAAAAATTAACACTGGACTGTTCATACTTCCTTATGTTTCCCATAAATTCCTCAAAATCATTGAAATCTCCTTCGAACAGAGCAATCCAAGAGGAAGCCAGTCCACAAGGGTAAATAACTCGATTATGCAACTTCAAAGCTCCATGGAAGAGCAGAGAAAGAATCAAAAAGTCATGCCATCATTCCAATACTCGAAGGAAAGCAAAATCGACAACAGAATTCAATTGACTTCAATCGAAGACATAAATGAACAAGCAAAATCAAAGAATCTAACAGCGAAGATGAATTTTGTTGATGGAATGAATCGAAACGCACCTTGAGAGTGAGAGCCGATGATGGAGCTTCGGTAGGTGTTGGAGAGGAATGGGAATTTTGGGGATGAGATTTTCCTGGATAAGCCGATGGGAAACTGGTTTGTGGATTTCGGGAAAACCCTAGCTGGAGTAAGATTTTGAGCCGGGTTAGGACAGGCCCCAACCGGATTTTGTAAACCGGGATAGGATTGGGTTAGGACTGGCCCCAACCGGATTTTGTAAACCGGGATAGGATTGCCCTCATCTCCACTAGATTCTACGCTTCTGCTTGAATCCAACCACTTTTATTTGTTTATTTATTTATTTATGAGATATTACATCATAATACAACCGCAAAATTTTGACTTCGATAATTACATTATAAAAAGTCAAAACTGAGCAATGACTTCTAAAACACTAGAATAAAACTTTTTTTTTCTTTTTTCTTTTTCTTTTTTGAGTATCTTCGAGGTCTTGAGTTCATGCATACGATGCAACTTTATAGTTTATAAGATGATTGAACGTTACTTTCAAAATGTGTATCACGTACGATCTTAGTTTTTTATGAAAGAGATTGTTTCTCGAAAACAATGTATATTGTGACACATCAATGCTAAAGGATAAATCTCTCTTTGATGCTCGCTCCGAATCCTGCTCCTCTTCAATTTCTAGCCCCATATTTTGGGTGAGCCATGAGGGAATATTTTCGCAATAATGGAATACAAGTATTAATAATCTATGATGATCATAGTAAACAAACGGTGACATATTGACAAAATGTCATTATTGTTAAACTTGCTATCCTCTTGCCTAGTAGGTAAAGTTTTACCTCCGAAAGTTTTTGTTGTCGTTAAAGTCGGAGAGAAAAGTCTCTAAAACCCTCGAACTACTTACTCATTCACCTCTCCAACTCACTTCTCTTACTTCTTTCACCCATCAGATCTTATCTTAGGACGACTTACAGGTTCTTTAGTAACTCTTTTCTTGAATGAGGTAAAGCTAGTAGTTGAAGAACCTTTACTCGGAGTATAAAGAAATTAGATATAACACAACTATTGCTGACCATCACAAGAACACCAGACACTTGGAACCTATAATGTTTTGCGTGGCAATCCAGTCTCTTGGTTGTAGTTAAGACTAATTTATGACAAGCAGCAGGAAAGCAAGGAGCTGAGGCGTAGCACAAGAGACATAATGCTTACACTTTCTAACCATATTTACGAAGCCAAATTCATATATTCCTACGTCGTGTTCCCATTACAGTAATATGGAGGTTGAAATAAACACTAATCATAATACCATTTCCTACAAATATGATATAGCATCCCTCTTCTTCTGCCTTTGTGAAGTCTATTATAAATTGTCGCCTAAGATGACGGAGAAAACTAGCCCCCGTACGAAGTCCGATCTCCAAGTCTTCTCTTCTTGGTTCGTGTCTGGTAGAGAGGGTAACCTGACATCCCTACATATGCATATTTAACGTCATTAGGTTGGAGAAGATGAGTTTTAGGATATGAGGCATCTCAATCACAGAAGTTATAGAGTTGGCTACGAATGAAATGACAGTAACGAGAGCAAAAATAACTCGACCAACACAAACAACTCGATCAGTATGAGAAGTGCAGCAATTTAAGGCCATTTGGTGAACTGATTCGAATATAAAGGCATGAAACTGAAACAGGATCATTTTACAGTTCAATGACAGTATAACTCCAAAGCTACAATGACCCTGTATGACCCTAAAAGGAAAATGGAAACGAAAATAAAACTGCAACGTTGCTCGAACCATGAGTTTAGAAAGCGAGTGGAACTAAATGTTTAAGCCTATAACTCCTGACATATCTTTGAACTATTCGTCATTAGCTGCACGATTGACAATGTGTGTAAGTTTATAATAGCCTTAAACATATTGTGACACTCACAACAGTAACTCAGGGTTATTTAAGCTCGTAGGAGAAGCAGGACATCTCTGAACTTATACAGAAAACATTTTAAATAACAAACCAAAATGCATGCCTAAGAAGCAGAAAAAATCATGATTATGATGAACAGATGCAGGTACAAAGTGTGTAAGTTTCAAATCAGATCAAACACATCATCTTCTAAAATAAGAGGCATCGAGAAGCATATTTCCGTGCTTACCTTTCCGACAGAGTATCGTCTAAATCTTTTTCCTCCATTTTTTCTACACTTGAAGGCCGGGGCCGAACAGTTTCAGAATCATTGATGACAGGTGCATTGCATAAAAATGACAGCAATGGATCAGGTGCCATCTTGGAGGTGGAATGCAGAGAAGAAAACCCAGAAAGAGTTCTTACATGATCATCTAGTAACTCTTTCCTCTCGAAAGAAAGACTTTGAGGGAAATCGTCTTTATCAAATTTCAATCTTTGTTGACTGTAATCTCAAGTTAAGGAAAAGAATGTATGGATTCAAGTATGCGTTGGATATAAACAAGAAACCGAACAACATACAAAGGAAAAACATCTGAGAGCTTTACAAAATTGGGGAAACTTAAGAATGAAAGAAAAGGATATATTAAATATATCTCCATGTTGCATCGTTATATGTTCAACCATATTCTCTCCCACGCTTGTAGAACAAATAGGACATATCTGAAAATGCATGAAACCAAACGCATGAAAAACCACAAAAAAGACTAACAAATTTCAAAAGAAGGTACAGAAAGATCACAAAAGCATGCATAAAATGTTAGGATCGCACAACATCGCACACACTCGATCTAGATGAGCACAAAAAACAGGAGAGAGAAAATGCAAGGAGGAATATTGGCTAAGGTTTAGATTGATGACTTCAAGTACATACCTAAAGTCATCCATACAAATCCTTTAGCCAATATTCCTCCTTACTTTTTCTCTCTCCTGTTCTTCGTGTTCATCTAGATCAAATGTGCACGTCGTTGTGCGATCCTAACAGAAAATCTACTCCCCAAAAAGATCTTTATACTTTCAACGCTGACAGCGACATAATAATCATACACGAACATTCTTGAGCAAAGGCAAGACAAGCACACAAGTATAACATCCATGGGAGGAAAAATAAAATCTAAAGGAAAATACCACCACGTTACCACGTTATCTGAGAGCTACAGACAACCATAGCAATCTAATTTTCCAGGTCAAGTCCAATAGAACCATACATTAAGCAACAGAGCAGTACCAACATCTGATATTAGTAGGTGGGTTAATGATGATTAAGTCTATAACAACGAATAAGAGATTAGATCAGAAAGGGACTTCTTATAGTCATGAAACAAGTTCCAACAAAAACTTGAAATGAAAAACTTGCACAATAAGATCAAAACACTAAGCGTTAACAAACAACAGGACAATGCCTTGAGCTTGAAGTTCAAACTCACTCAAAGAAGACAATCAAAATAAGAACTCTGTAAGTACTATGAACTGACCCAAATCTCGAGAGTCAGAAAATGCAAGCAAGTTTTTGGTTGATACCACATATCAAGGGAAATATTTCTAATCTCCTACTAAAAAAAAGAAAAAGTCAAGCGATTGTCTTACTCCAAACTTGGCTTCTACGGGATGTTCGTCATCAATATGGCAGCATAACTCAACCAAATCAAATTCCTCGGGACAAAACGGGCAAGGATATTCCGAATTCAAATCATCATCCCCATCCACTTCCTCGTAATCAAAATAAAAATCTACAAAACCAAACAGAATTCATTCAAACCAAAAACCCCCAAAACAAAACCTAAACCACAGATAATGAGTAAATTAAGATCGAGAAAAGACTAACGGGACTGGGATTTTAACTGAGAGTTCCTCAAAGCATCAGCAACAGAAGAATCAGAGAATCCATAGCTATAAGCTTCACTTTCCATTCTCAAATTCAAAAAAAAAAAACCCAACACGAATTCGATTCAGGGGGCAGAAACCGTACGAATCGTGGATGAATTCTTCAACACCCTTCGCCGAAATCTTTTAAGCGGCACCGTTCGTGGTTCTGAAGAAAAGACGAAGAAATTAAGTAGCTCTCGCTCGCGATTGGGGAGTTATAAGGTCAACGAGATTTGGCTGGTGATCCCTTAACGAACACGATTTCTGACTCTGAGATGACCAAGAAAGAAACTCCCGCGTTTTACCGTCAAACAACCGGGGACCGCCGATTATGGATTAGGACTCCTATTCCCCTTTTTGCCCTCATCAGAATATTACTGAAAATCTCCCGTGATATATGGTTGGGAAAAAAGTAGTGGGGTTATTATTGTCTTTTCATATTGTTTGCCGTCTTACAACCTTTTCATAAAAGAAATCTAAATTTAATTTAGTTTTGTTCGTCACGTTTATCAAAACTTATTCAGCTCAGTTTAATTTAATTTAGTTCTTTTTATTTTAGTATTTTAACAACTTCAAAATTATTATTTTTAAATTTATATTTATTTGTTAAATAATTAATAAAAAAATTAAAGTTAAATTTGGATATTTTAGAGAGTTTAATAAATTTTAAACTTTAAAGAATTGGTTGACATTTGTGTTATTGATCAATTAAATATATTTTGTTGATAAAAAAAAATATGAAAATTTTAGGAAGAAAAATAAAATTACTTTTTTAGTATGAGGAACAAAAATAGTATTTTAATTAATTAATTACGAGAGCCCACTTAGGCCCAATTATGAGAAGCCTATTCCACTCACAGGCCCAATTATGAGAAGCCCATTCCACCCGCAGATCCAATTATGAGAAGCCCATCCCAAATTTAATAAATATTTTTAATTTAAAAATTAAGCATCTTTAAATAATTTTTTTAAATAATAGTTTTGAAATATTTTTCAAACGTACAAATGCATTTTATAAAATTTATAAAAAAATTAGAGATATTTTTAATAATAACTTTAAAAAGAAATATTTTGTAGAGAGAGTAACTTCAGATATGGTTTAGTTATTTGAATTAGATTTTGATTTAGTCGTCCTATTTAGTGGATTTGATTTGTTTTTGATGTATTCTGTAATACTATATAAGAGCTAATTTCATTCAATAGAATGTGAGATTTCTTCACATTTATCTGATCTTTCCAGTTTTGTGTCGTGTTTCTAATAAGTATTTTATAAATATAGGAATAAATCACGATAAACTAATACCCAACCTATAAATAAAGGTGTAAACAAGTTGATAAACTAAAACCCGACCTATAAATAAAGGTGTAAACAAGTTGATAAACTAAAACCCGACCTACAAATAAAGGTGTAAACAAGTTGATATAGACTCTCGGTTCACAAACGTCTCACAATTCGACTCATACAATCTGATTGGTAGGCTCTTGATTAACTAATACATTCTGATTTTTTTAGAAAAATGTTAATATTAAAAATATTAAAAATCAAAAAATCAAAACTGACATTTGAAATTTAGTTATAATTTTTTTTTAAAAAAAAATCAAAACTGATTTTGAAATTTAGTTATAATTTAAAAAAATTGAGATTTGAAATTTAGTTTAAAAAAAAAAAAAAAAAATCAAAACTGATTTTGAAATTTAGTTATAATTTAAAAAAAACTGAGATTTGAAATTTAGTTATAATTTAAAAAAAAAAAATCAAAACTGAGATTTGAAATTTAATTATAATTAAAAAAAAAAAAATTGGTCAACAGTTTGCGAGATCTCCTCTTATAAATCACCCAAATTTAAATTTCAAAATTCAACGTTTATATTCAAAATTAATCTTACCTCTATAATTCATATCGGTACTATTACTATTCAAAATTACACTAATAATCATTATTAGTGGAATTATAACGTAGATATCGACAACACTCATAGTTTAATGATATCATATATGTATAGTTTAAATACCTAGACGATGATATATTTTTATTATATCGACTTAATAATAATATTAATGAAAGTTGAACCCTAAAGGGTGAATAATAAATCAATACCTAAACCTTCAAAATCAGTGATGGGAGGATTCCTGAATGTGCCCATCCTACAACACCATGACAAAATAGTTAATTATCATTATAAATACTAATTAATAAATTAATGACAATAAAACCAATTTTAAAAATGTATTTACCTCTATAGTTTCCCCCTCTACTTGTGATCCTTTGTAAGTCTCTTTGTACTCTCTCAAAAGCTTGTCACAAAGATAATCATGCATTACATTATTTTCCATACCCATATAAGTGTTGTTGTACCTAAAAACATCGTTAGCTAACTGATTCGGCCATGGGTTTGGATCGAAAATACGTTCTTGTGTCTGATAACACTCCGAAAATAATGTGTTGGGTTGGAGATCCGACGCTTGTCCTGATGCTTCCATTACAAGCCGAGGATGTTCCTCTCGTTCTAGGGCTTCCTGATTCGACCATGGGTTTGGATCAAAAACATGCTCTTGTGTCTGATAACACTCCGAAAATAACGTATCAGGTTGGAGATCCGATATTTGTCCTGATGCTTCCGTTACAGGCCGAACACTCCGAAAATAACGTATCAGGTTGGAGATCCGATATTTGTCCTGATGCTTCCGTTACAGGCCGAGGATGTTCCTCCCGTTCTAGGGCTTCCTGATTCGACCATGGGTTTGGATTAAAAACATGCCCTTGTGTCGGATAACACTCCGAAAATAATGTATCAGGTTGGAGATCCGATACTTGTCCTGATGCTTCCGTTACAGGCCGAGGATGTTCCTCCCGTTCTAGGGCTTCCTGATTCGACCATGGGTTTGGATTAAAAACATGCTCTTGTGTCGGATAACACTCCGAAAATAATGTATCAGGTTGGAGATCCGATACTTGTCCTGATGCTTCCGTTACAGGCCGAGGATGTTCCTCCCGTTCTAGGGCTTCCTGATTCGACCATGGGTTTGGATCAAAAACATGCTCTTGTGTCTGATAACACTCCGAAAATAATGTATCAGGTTGGAGATCCGATACTTGTCCTGATGCTTCCGTTACAGGCCAAGGATGTTCCTCCCGTTCTAGGGCTTCCTGATTCGACCATGGGTTTGGATCAAAAATATGCTCTTGTGTCTGATAACACTCCGAAAATAACATATTAGGTTGGAGATCCGATACTTGTCCTGATGCTTCCGTTACAAGNCGAGGATGTTCCTCCCGTTCTAGGGCTTCCTGATTCGACCATGGGTTTGGATTAAAAACATGCTCTTGTGTCGGATAACACTCCGAAAATAATGTATCAGGTTGGAGATCCGATACTTGTCCTGATGCTTCCGTTACAGGCCGAGGATGTTCCTCCCGTTCTAGGGCTTCCTGATTCGACCATGGGTTTGGATCAAAAACATGCTCTTGTGTCGGATAACACTCCGAAAATAATGTATCAGATTGGAGATCCGATACTTGTCCTGATGCTTCCGTTACAAGTCGAGGATGTTCCTCCCGTTCTAGGGCTTCCTGATTCAACCATGGGTTTGGATAAAAAACATGCTCTTGTGTCTGATAAAACTCCGAAAATAACGTATCAGGTTGGAGATCCGATACTTGTCTTGATGCTTCCATTACAGGTCGAGGATGTTCCTCCCGTTCCAGGGTTTCCTGATTCAACCATGGGTTTGGATCGAAAACATGTTCTTGTGTCTGATAACACTTCAAAAATAACATGTCGGGTTGGAGATTCGATGCTTGTCTCGATGCTTCCATTACGGGTTGTGGATGTTCCTCCCGTTCTAGGGCTTCCTGTCGGATATCTGATGAAGGACATGAACTTACGTCGTCGTCTTTAAAAGATTTATCAACCTTAAGATCATATCTTTTAAGATGCAACCGATATTTCTGCACTTATAATTATACATTAGCTTCAAAATTAACTCAAATAATTCGAATCTATATCTATCTATACCTGAAGGTGGCTAGCAACAATGGCTCTAGTGATATTTCGAACCCCAAGATTTCTCATAAACTCTAAAATCTTCCTTGGAACTGCATCTACATTAATCAAATAATGAATTAGTCGAGGTTTGAACTAGCTCGAGCTAGTTAATGTTGTTGAGTATCATCAGGGCACTTACTGTCTAAAGTATTGAAAGCGTGAACGAATATTCTATGGAGTTCATCTGTCCAAATGAATCGTTGTTTTTTGAATTCTTCTCGTCGTTCGATCTTCTTTAAACGTTCAGAGTCGAAATGAGTGGTTTCTACTTCTCCACCGCACGTTGTTGAGGAACCACTTCCTCCGGCGAATTCATGGAGGGCGGCGATCTCCAAATCGCCTCGAATAAGGGATAAAAGAATTCAATAAAAGAAAAAAAAAAACATGAAATTTGAGTAAAATTTAGAATGAACTTACAAACATCTTGGAGTGTTGGGTCATCGGTAGCGGATTGATCAAGCAATTTGGGGAAGTCATTGACAATTGACATTTGATACTAAAAAAAAGTCAAAAGCTTCAAAAATTTTCGAATCATTTTTTCGGTGAAAACACGAGCGTGTATATATATAATATAAGCTTTTCTTATTTGAACGAGATATCTCGAATTTAAAAAGTGTATTATTTTATTAATTTTTATTGATATTCATTAATATCTTAACCTAAATTACAAGTTTAGTCTCGCTATATTCTCTCTTATTTTAAATTTTTTTTTTATTTTTATATAGATTTGATTTTTTTAAAATTTATTTAATAGAACTCTTATCTGCTATCTACTAGGTTTTATGTTTTATTAAACCATGTCCCAATTCTAAATTTTTTAATAAATATTGTTTTTCAAATTATTCTAATTAGTAACAAAATTGACATAAAAGATTTGATTCCGAAACCAATCATACACTTGGAAATTCGAAAACGTAACATTTTATTTTTTATTTATTCAAAATTAAAGATAAAAATATCTTAAATTTTTTTAAAAAGTTTAAAAATATTATTGAGACTAGTTAAATTTAAAATTAAAAAATTAAATTAAATTTAGAGTTCATTTAATGAGTAACAAGAAAATAGTACGGTTTAAAATCCTTAAAATTAGGATTTTTTTATGGTCGTTTACTAAAACTATTCGAAGGGGGTTGAAATTTGGTATTTACGTTCCATCTTGACTCTCAATACTCATCTGGCGGCGGGCGGCGGGCGGCGGGCGGCGGGCGGTGCTCTAAGCTCAATCTCTCAAAAGTTCTTATTTTTCCACTAAATTATGAGTTTTTGTTCTTATTTGTTTCTTTATGCAGTGATGATTCTTCCTGATTTTCCCGATGATGTCCCCTCCGATGGGTTTGATGTTCATGGCGGCGGCGCTGATTATATTGTTCAACCCACTGCGCCTAATCAACCATCAAAGGACAACCCTTCCTTTGTCTCGGCGGATGTAAACCCAGTCGGCGTTCCCCATTCCTCCGGCGATGTTGATGGACGAGTCACAATCTTGCCCGTAATCGATGATCAGACTGGAAGAAACACTTCTTTGAAGGCTAAATCTTCCAAGAAGAAGAATGGTTATTATCATCGTCGGAATGGAGAGAAGAAGGAACGTCTCATATGGACGCCAGAGCTTCATCAATGTTTTCTTGAATATTATAACAAATTTCCAAACGAGAGTAAGTTCTTAAATTTATCCTAAACCCTAAAGACAAATTATTAACCCTAAACCCTAAACCCTAATTGCAGAGCGAGTTCCGAAGAAGATTTTGGAGGAGATGAGACGAAAATTTCCATACGTTACGCGAGAAAACGTTGCAAGCCATCTTCAAGTAAACTTTTTTTTGCTTTGTTTTCGTTCTTGTGAATTGTTTGATCTAATACAACTTTCCGGTGCAGAAACATCGATTATATCTTAAACACTCGAAGAACAAAGAACAGGGAAAGTTATCAAAACCCTCCACCAAATCAGTACCTCGCAAACAGATCAATGAAGAATCCAATATCCATCAAATTCTCAATAACACAGCCATTTCTACTTGCCCTAATGCTGTTCTTCCTCACCAAAGCCATTCAATTTCCATAAACCCTAATACACAGCCACCTCTCCAAACCCATACTCTCCAAGAACCAATGCAAAATCAAGTCTTTTCTCAATTTGATGATACCCATCTTATAGAACAAGACATAGTGTTGATGCCATCTTCGTTCGACCCGTGGAACGATCTTCCCTATTCGAATACGATGAATGTCTTTGACCCTTTTGGAGGGCAATCATCAAATGCAGCTTCATGTTTCCCTGTTATGGTTGACAATTTTGCTCCCCCATCTAATCATCAATTAGTGATATCTAACATTGATGGCAATGGTTATGGCAATGGTTATGGTAATGGCAATGGTAATAGCTTTTATCCTATGATGGGTAACACTTTTGGAGATTCGAGTATCAATAATTACTACATTGGAGCTCTCCCAAACATTCTTGATTATAACATGAATTCCCAATTGGATAATGTTCAAGTTTATGATATCAACAATATCTATGCTCTTGGAACGTATTCTGATCCTTTGCCGTTCGATTATCCTTTGAATTTCAATTTCCAAAACGAGTTGCAGGTTAGTACATTTAAGATTGTTTATATCTGATTCGATTCGATTTGATTCGATTCGTACAAATCGTTTGTTGTATTGAGCAGGTGCAAGATTTTGATCAAGCTGGTCAATCCATGTTATACCCACCTGCTACTCATCTAGTAGACTACTATGCTTCTACAAATTTATGGTAGCCGCCATCTTTACTGACTCTCTCTTTTTAAGTTCGAAAAACAATGCATCGTTTCTCGATTATTATTCTTATATGAATGTGAATGTAGATAATCGAGGAAAAGAACACTATGAATGAAAGAACGGACGAAGAACGTGAGCGATGGATGGAAGAACGGATGGGGGCGACGATGGAATCGGTTGGTCTTAGGTTTTAGCTTTGTTTTTCATAGGATGTAAATATGTAGCTGCAGCAGATTCAGTGCATTTAGGTCTTGTCTTTGAGATTTGTTCAAGGATTTTGTTTTGTCAGACATTCTTTTTTTCTAGGAAAGAATGTCTATGGTTATTGATTTTAATAAAATTTAGTTATTGATTTTATTTGAAAGCTTTTAAAACAAAAACAAAAAATCGAAACAACAATAATCATTACTATATTTTTTTCATTTTTAAAATTTTTAAAATGACAAAAAGAGATATACTATTTTTTTCTTTATTTAAAAATGAAATAAAATAAGAGAGGTACTGTATTTTTTTTTATTTTGAAATAAAATAAGAGAGGTATTTATTTTTTTTTATTTTGAAAATAAAAGAGGTATTATATTTTTTATTTAGAAATGAAATAAAATAAGAGAGTTACTATATTTTTTATTTAGAAATATTTTTTTATTTAGAAATGAAATAAAATAAGAGATATTTTTAGAATATATATTTTTAAGCCATCTTTCAAAATGACAACCATGAAATAAAATAACTATATTTTTTTATTTAGAAATATATATTTTTAGCGATCTTTAATAATATTGGTATTATTTATTTAGAATGAAATCGAGTAGGTGAGTTAATGAAAAAAATTCATACAACTTGTTGATCGTTAAACCATTATGTTCACGTGATATTCCCATTGGTGGAGGCCTCATGATTTTTTAATCCTTTCACCTAGATTTCAACTCGGAATGTCTCAACTCGGTACGACCTTAACAAAGGTCTTAAAGTGTATCATGTATCGAGTATAAAGAAGAACTTGTTGTAAGTGCTACAACTAATAACAACATCAGAAACTACGTCTTGTTTGGGCCAGAAGATGTAAAAGTCTATTAAGATAATAGGAAAGTCAACAATAAAGAACAAGCCAGAAGATGTAAACGTCTGTTAAGATAATAGGAAAGTCGACAATAGAAGAACGAAGGGTGAAGTCTATAGAGTCTGCCTATGTTCAAGACCCGAAAGAATGAGACGACAGATCTATGACATGCAAGATTGGGACATGTTAGCTATCATAAGTTGATCGGACAAGTTAGCTATCATAAGTTGAAGCTGATTATGGAAAAATTCATGCTCAACTCGATAAGACCTTAACAAAGGTCTTAAAGTGTTTCGATTCTTAGATACAATCTGAACACTCTGAACCTAATTTGGTAACATCTTTATTGAACAGAATGTCATGTGTCTTTATTGAACACTTCGAATGTCATAAGAAATTGCAAATACTAATTTGTTAAAAATTAATCGGATTGGAGCTATAGCATCATCATTCGTTGGAATCGAAATATCTACAAGATCCGCGTCACAATTTGTATCAATTAAACAAATAGTTGGAATTCCCAACGTGATACATTCTTGAAAAGCCTGATATTCTTCTTGTTGATCAACGATTATTACAATATCGAGTAACCCCGTAATATATTTAATCCCGCCCAGATATGTTTGCAAGTGAGATAATTGTTTGAATGTCATATCCAACATGACAACATGCTACTATGTCGATACATTATCAATTAAACTAAACTAAAATATAAAGATTTTGTTATGTTGAAATCGAAATCTTTATAGTTAGTTTGAAATTCCATATCTGATTGTTAAATAAGCCATTAAGATTATATTTTTTTTATATGTTTGAAAATTCATTAAATAAGCCATTAAATGAGTGATTAAAATTATATTTTTTGATATGTATTTTTTATTTTAATTTCTTTTTTAGTTTAAATGATTAAATTTAGTCCCATGTTTTTAATATAAATTTAAAATTGGAAAATGATAGTTTTTTTTTTTTTTTTTTTTTTTA